TCACATATTATTATCTTTATAGAGCAAGATTGCGTAATTGATACCACTGGCAAACAAAAGGTTCGGGGTTCGAAATTCAAATAACTTTTATAAAGCCTGTTCTGTGAAAAAAGTAACCTAGAACTATGCCTTAATGGACATGATGTAAAAATACTTTAAAAGTTAAGCAATAGTTCATCCAAGCTATGTTAAAATTTGAATATGGCCACACTAAATATCTTTATCTATGTTACAAAATGTTAGCGGCAATAAACATATTGAAAATCCGGATACAAGGTTATTAAATCTCAAATTTCGCAATTGTGAAAGCGAGTTGCATGACTACTTTTGAATTGGTGCACTTTCATGCATTTGCTAGCGTCACATACTAGCAAATCTATATGACTGAGACCGCAATAGACCTCGGGACAGGAGATCAAAGCTATGCCGTCGCAAAATTATGAATAACTAAGTTAGGATTACGTAGTATCGCGCATTTAAACTAAATAATGTCTATCATATCATACGTTACATATTTATGTGTAATTAACGTTTATGGCAGCGCACGCCAGAATAGCTCGCAGAAAGGTAGGTTTTTTCCTAGTTACTTCACACTTAATGTCATATTTTGGACAGCTCACACAATATTGTTATAAATTGTAGCCTATGTGTTATTCTGATGTATGAGCTATATTATTGGAAAGTTTAATTGAAATCCATTCAGTAGTTTTTGCGTGAAAGAGTAACAAACATCCATTCACAAATACAAACTTTCACGTTTATAATATTAGTAGGATTACATATCTTTACTGAAGAATATGTTTGTTTCTTAGTTTGAACGCGCTAATCTCAGGAACTACTGGTTCGAAGTGAAAATTCATGATTTGAAAAAATGTTCCCGACATTAACGCACAAGGATGACGAAAGGAAATCCAAGTGGAGTAGAAAAGTCGGGCAAGCACATTTCTGTGCCCGTTTCACTGATCGTTTCTTTGCTGGCAGGTAGATAATCAATCAATCGTGTATTAATGTTTTCCCAGGCTTCAAACTCAGAACTTCACGCGTTCAACGCAATGATAGGCAATACGTTTGACTATTTAGCTACAGAGGCGGAAATATATTATATGCTAGCACTTATATACGCCACCACGCCCACCACGCGTACGAAACTTTAACGTGCAAAGTTTACAGCGAAACGTGGAAAAAGAAAAACAGCATCGCCTATTCCAGTGGGTAATTGAAAAGAAAACATCAATATAGAACAAATATTGCACACCTACGTATAGCCTTCGGGATGAAATACACAGTTTGTTCAAACAACTAATATACATAAGGCCGTGTACACACTGTCTTCTGTAGCGTTTTTTTTTCAGACACGATGGCAGATAGCAATTGTAAAACGGGATGTACAATGAATTTAATTTTCTAATTACCGTGTGTTCGAACGAACATGGTGTTGTTTACAGACTGTTTCAATGCACCAGTATGTACTAGTCCTAAATGTTAGCAGTAGTACTATGCACGTCCAGTTTGAAACTCTCAAAACAAAACACAAACCTAGTGTTATTTGAATATGCTGTTAACGCCGTTACATTACATACATCTATAACACAACAATCTAATCTAGTACTAGTCTTTTGTACGTTAGCCGGTCTGTCTGTAATTTTCATTTTGAAGATAAGCAGTTGGACCAGGTTATAATCACAAATGACACAAAAATGGTGGTGGTATGCTGTGAAGTTATTGCAGGAGAAGATTGTAATTTTTTTAAATGATAGAATAAGACAGGCAAGCATGGGGTTCCCTTGATGGTAGGTGAAAACGCCGGCCTTTAGCATCTAAACAAGACCCGGACAGAATATCTATATTCCTACCATCCATTAGAATATCGAGATTTTTTTTTGTTGTACCCGGTGGGGATCGAGCCAGTCGAAACTTGCTATAGAGGTCTGTTTGCAGCCTAAACCTGCTGGCACGGCAACCGTGCCCTACTTACATCTGGAAACAAGAGCAATCTTTATTGTCAATTTCCACCCCCGCACTTGCTAACAGACTTTCTTTGATTTTTGCGCGCTAGTTTATTTTGAGTTAATATTACGAGTTTGATGGGAGATGGCAAACCGATCTGTCAGTAGATGAAAGAGAATACCTTATAATATAATAGACTAATAATTACTTAAAAGGCAATTACGATCTCTACTAATATATAAAGCTGAAGAGTTTGTTTGTTTAAACGCGCTGATGTCAGGAACTGCGGGTTCGAATTGATTGTTTTTTTGTGTTGGTTAGAACATTTATCAAGGAAAGCCTATAAAATATCGCCCAAGCGAAGATACAGTGATAGATGTGAGACGCTACATGTCTATCTTTTAAGATTAACATACAAGAGGGACGGGAAGGGACGCCACCGAAGTCGAGGGTAACACCTTAAGTTTGTAAAGATGAAGAGGTTTGCAAAATGCGGACGAAGTCGCTGACACAGCTAGTAAAATATAACTTTACAAGTAAGTAAGTAATATAAAGAAGGAAAAGAACAAAAAAAGTGTTGAGCGATTGTAAAATCTAGTGAGACAAATTCATTGTAACAATTCTCGTGAATTGTCCTAGCTATTAAAATTAATGTAAACTTAGATTCAAATTTAAATTCCGTATCGTGACACAGTAGTTCAATTGGTGAGAGCAACAGCACCGTGTTGTAATTCTTTTCTAATTTGATTAGATTTTTAATTTATATAATCACTTGCAAATGTGAAAAATTAAAAAAGATTTCAAACCGGTAAAGATGACTATTTCCATCTAAAATAAATGCTTATGATATTAGCTATATATAACAAGGAACTAATGTTTTTGTTTATAGATATATATATTTATGAATGATTATTGTCTTTTCGCGAGCACGCTAGCAAAATCGAAATTGTTTTGTCGTGTATACCTTTACTTTGCATTAAGTCTGTTTATGTATCACAGACATTGCGAGGGAGATGTATTCGTGCAGTAGGAAGATAAAGACGCAGTTGTCAAACTACTTAGTCGAAAAGAGGTCGTCTTGTCCTAATGACATTGAATTAATTGAAAAATGACTTAACATTCGACCTACAGCCGACCCGTCTGAGAGCATCTCCGAATCAATAGATGCGTTATTATATCTTGACATGGAGCATGGAGTATTATAGCGCATGACTTCCAAGGATCTACCGCAGACAGAACCAATGGTTGGTTGAATGTGATTAACGGTCTTGTGTTCGAGAACCGGGTTTTGCAGCTGTTTTACATGTATCATTTTTCAGTGTCATAATAAGAAAATCTAATGCCTTTATTTTGCTTTTCTTATGAATACGATAATAATATTTTTATTTATTATTCCATACGGATAATAAATAAAAAGTTCGATAGCCACCGCATCTAACATATTTCTGATCAATGTATATTTTTTTTAAATAAAATCCAGATTTCCAGAAGTCCAACAACTTTTAACCAAAATTTCGCCCGGGTCACGGCTCCCCTACCACAGTTTAGAAGAAAACTTCGTGAAGTATAATCGCGTTTCGGTTTCATTCTGTAGATAGGAAAGTCCAAAATGGGTTGATAGCGAATCTCGTGGCCACTATCAAACAAAAAAACAAGCAGATTAAAAGTTATACGAGGTTCGATTCTCAGATCTCGGAAACTATTTAATTGAAACGATAAATCTACCATTCCAGCCACAAGACAAATACAGACATAAACAACCAGTCTGAACTTATCATTTTGAACTCTTTCTGTTAATGCATCCGACCTTTACGTCTCTTAATATCTGTAATATGATCTTTAATCCCTTTTGCTCAGCTTACTGCTCAGTTTGATCAAACCCACGCAAAGATAGTGAACCTTTCGTTCGTGTATGTGGGTGTTGCCATTAAACAATTACCCGCTGAATGACTTTTTAGGGCTACCCTATTAATCTTTATTTCTCAAGCGTGCAATACAAAAAAGGTCACATAAAATTGTTTTTAAAAATATTTGATGGAAAATTTAAGCTGTCAGTTACTATCTATGGTTACGCGAGTAGTACACATTTGTATGATATACTTAACGGTTTAAAACGCGAAATATATCAGTTAACTTGCTGCAAAGCATCCGAAACGACGGGCCGTAGTTAAAATAAATTATAAATATGTTACTAGTATATGTCGCGTTTAAACCGTTAAATGTGTTTTATTTTACTATTATAGACATATACTAATGTCACAGAATCTACATAGCATCGCTAGACGGCATTCAAATTTTCTCGAAGAGGTCACACCCGTGCCTCCCTATTTTAGGCCTAATACCACTCGATGTCGAGGTAGGTTTTATATCCAGAAAAGCTATTTGAGAATGTAAAGTTTAACTTACTATTTATTTACATTTGCGACTAAATACTAGGTATTTGAATGCATGTGAGAGTTAGACTGGGAATATAAAATAAAACAAAATATAATCGGAGAAAAATTTATTCGAAAAATCTTTTCCTAAACATTAAAAATTCCATAAAAAGATTGCATAATCTAAGTTTTCACGTAAAAAAAATCAGAATGCAGTCCTAATTATTCGATGCATGCACTAAAACTCGACTTCAAGCTTCGCTTAAAGTCGAGTTTTACGAACGACGCAACGACAACATTCAATCTCGGGACCATTACACATTGTTGAAGTAAACATATTTATATCTTACACGAAACGGCAAGTCACAACTGCACGGCTCATGCAAGTGTATAGCGTAAAATACGGTCATGCGTTAGAACGTTTAGTAATTGTTAGTCAATATTCAAAAATTTAAAACTACCTACAAGCTCAGGTGGAAACTGCGAAAATTGTCTGTTAAGATATGAAAAGGTCAAACTTAGACTAAAGAATTATGTTCGCCGTTTCCACGAGAACTTTTAACTTATAATAATGCTTCGGCTATTGCAATACTTTGCGGCGATAGATCAGTGAATACCAATCAGAGGAGGGTAGGTGGATATTCTGTCAGTGTGGAATTCTATGATTGATATTGACTGCTATCCGAATTGTTCGATAGAGGTGGAATAAAGGTCTTTTAGGACTAGAATTTTCTGCATCAGATGTCGCGTTGAATCTGCAACAAAGAAAATAAAAATAAATTACAAAAACTTAATAACAATAATCATGCATAAATTTAAAAACAAATATTATTTTTACTTTAACTAAATTTCATATTATGGCTAATAGTACTAGAATTTTCAACTACGTCTACAACATCTGATCCATAGGACATCTTATATATATCACCCAAAACTTCATAAAATTCAATGAAGCTGTTTTGGTGTCGAAGAGAAACAAACACTGCAACATGGAGCTCAATGGTTAGAGCAACGCGTCGAAATTTGTTTCCAATCTTAATACATTTATTTAAACATTACCTACCTTAAACTGTTTACGTTACCAAGTTAATTAAAGTTATACTTGAAATGAGTTTGTTACTTTTGAAACTACCTTTCTGAAGTACCCACACAAATTTGTCAATTTAAGCTACACCATGTCTACAGAATTTGATTCAATAAATTTGGAGGGTACCAGTACGTCTGAATTAAATAAGAATTTATTTGAAGTACTTAAAAAAATGTCCGTCATCCTAGCAACCATTCATTTTTTTTCGCAAATATGTACTGCATTGAATGAGAAATGTGCTTTTAAATTACATTAATTATCACCAAACACAATGACGACGCTATTCACAGCATTTCGAGTCAATTGTTAATTCATTGTGGTAATTCCCTAATGGTTTATTTGGCGAAATTTGACGAAGTCGGGGTACACACTCAAAACGCATTTATGTCGTAGCGTGGCGAATTCTGGAGTCAAGGGTGGTGAAAGATTAATACTTGATCGATGACTGGGCTAAATTTATGAGGAACTCTTGATTGTGTCAAGAGATGCAGCGCAAATGTGCTAGGAATAAGAGGCGGTAGGAAAGTATAATGAAATATCTAAATAGATAAAATATACAAATGATAAGTTCAAGATACATAGTTTTTATAGATAGACATGAGAAGTAATTCCTAAAATATATCACTATTTTAGTAGTCAAAATGTATTGGGAGGACTAAATAGATTTTATGTTTTTACTAATAAGTATTTTAAAGTTGATAATTTGTTAGATGAAGCTTTGCTTATTGAAGGCAATTCGTTTAAATCCTGCCTTAAAATTTGGGTTGCTTGGAAGAGATCGCTTGTTACAGATAAGGCCGCCCACTGCACTCCATATTTTTAGTATATGTCTTGTTTGTTTTTTTACTAACCAACCACGCCGCAAATCATGGTGACGAAAGCTAGTCAAGAATAAAATTGGGAAAATGCGTTCAGAAAAATCACACGTAATTTTCGAAAGTCGAACATCGGGTGGAAACCGATAATTTTACGCGTGTGAAACAATTTAAAAATCACGAGGCGCGTAGGCACATTTAAGCTCTTGCCTCCTATAAACGCCGTGCTTCGCGTATTCGACGCCTTTCGTCTCTTATTATTATTAAAATGGCAACAATAACTGGCTAATAAATGGTTTAGATTTTTGAAATGACAGAACAGACGAGCATGGGCTTCTCTTGATAATCTGTTACCTGAATCATTGTTAACGGGTTAAAAATCCGTCCAAGTTGCAATACACCGTTCGTAGTCCAATTTTGCGTTTCAGTTTGTGTGACTTCTGAACTGGTTAGTACTTAATCTCCGCGCATGTCTGTACTCCGTTCATAGTAACAACGCGATCATCGTGTGAATAAAGATAGCTTTATTTGACGTTTATAAGAGACCGCAGCCTTATTAGACAATCTATTTGCGTCATAGCAACAGTACTATCGTGCGGTTGTCTTTATCAATCACTTTCGTGACCTCGATACGGCCCACGCCCTAATGTATCGGGCGATTTACCCCGTTTCTTAATCCGGGATATAACATGACCTATCTTATCAATTAACTGAATTGCCGAAGGTAGCTAGTGTATGTTGACACGCGCTAGCCAATACTTTCTTCGTACAGGGAGTTTTTCGTCCGCTGGTCGTACCGCCGCGACGTTTGCCAAGAATGTCCCTTCTCTAACGTTTATTATGTCTGGGCTAGTTAATAGGGCTTTTTAAATCCGATATGTGGCCAAGATTTGGGACACATGTAGCGATTTTTAACTAGGCTATTCAAAATTGAAAATTGTGATGCTGACTGTAATCAAAAATAAATATAATTTGAATGCCCAATTGGTAGTTTCTGCTATAAAAATAGAGAATTTTGGGATACTTTCCTTAATTTTATCTACTCTTATTGGTATTTAAATAATTTTACCGAACGACGGACATAAAATAAATCACTTTTCATGTGTGGCTTCTACTACAGCACATGTAAACGCAGAGCTCGTGTTAATTTTTTTGTTAACACCACTAACAGTTTACTCGATCTTAAGAAGTAGTAATTAAATTTATTTAGGGATAAAACTTATGTTTTTAATATTGGGGGTAAAAAGGTACCTAATTATATTTTAAAATACTTTCTCAAAAGTCCACATCCTTATTAACATGCCAGTTTTTTATTTAGCAGCATAACACCATTATACGACACATCTATCTCGTCTTCGATTTTATATTTCAATTTTAAAATACCATACATTTAATTTAGGTAATTCAATAATCTACAAAGAAGTTAACTAACTTTTTACAAGTAAACAAAATGTTTTGTAATTTATTTACATCAGAGATCTGATGTCACCTGTAATACTCGAAGTTGTATAAGCTTTGGCACAATATTTGAATAAGTGATATTTGTAATTGAAGAATACAGATAATGAATGCATTTTGAAAGTTGCTCCAGATAGATATAGATAGTGGGATAAGAAAGCAAAGGCTACTGGTTCCAATCGGCCAACTGGCTAGACCGCTCATAGAAAATTAATCTTTATTCCAATTATTGCGTCGCCATATACATTTGTCAGGCTTTCATTGCTCTATACATTGTATATGAATACACAAAACGTGTAGTGCGTGGTGAAACTTTTGAGAGAAAGAAAACAATTTCTATTTGCCATTAAAGATAACGGTTAAACTCATTCAAAATATATTTTAAGAGCGGGGACAGAAGTTAAATGGTGTGTTGTTAGTGTTAAAATCAAATCTGATACGTACCACTAACTAACTTCTACATACTACTAATCAACTGCTCTAATTCAACATTTTGAGCCGATAAATTTGTTGTATTTAGTTGTGTACGTGTTACGCTTTAACTACAGACAATACTTAACTACTCATAAAAAACACTAAAAAATGTGGTTTGATAGTTTCAGTGGCAGAAAGCCTCTTCAGAAGAGCAGAGCACAGGACTCTACTTTAGTTATTTGGTGAACTTGAGACGTAGGAACGTAACATATTCGTAGGTCCATAATAATAATAAATATCCATGTCAAATTATAAAAGTCTTTTACACGCCCGTCTTACTACGAAGACCGAGCAGAAGAGTTTGTTAGTTCGAATGCGGTAATATTCGGAACTAATAGACAAAAATAAAAGCTATTAAAAATAGCATTACGAATTGGGACTTGCTATCGATATCACTTTTGTCTGACTAAAAAAACTTAAAGCTTAATATCGGAGTGAAACGATAATTCACATTATTTAAAATTGCATGTAACTAACGATACTAAGAAGTACGCGAATATGTACTGAACAGCTTTGCAATTCTTTTCTACATTTCGTTAAAAATAAAGACTCTGAAATGTGTTTTAATAATTCGTAAGCCACCGAACGTCTTTATCACCGGCGCGGGCGCCCCAATTCCGAAAAGTAGGTGATCGCTATCCAATTTTATAATTAAGAACAATGTGTGCAACGAAAAAAATCAATTTACATAGCTTGTACAATTAAATTGACGTCATTGCGAAACGGTTCCCTAATTGATCTATAGAATTGGTGGCCAAGTGACACCGTTTTCGCTGTATCAATGTTTTTCACAGCTGAGTAAATTCGTTGGCGCTGACGCAACTAAGGGTGAGTGCATGTTGCTAATGAGGTGGGAATACATCGTTTAATATATTTTTTAATAATAAACGATAACATATAAGCTACACTTTTATTAAGGTTAAATACAATTTTGATATATATATATTGTAATATGTATATAAATAAATTAATTAATAAACAATCTTTATACATCTAAAAGCTGCTACCTTTAACATTTTAAACTATTTTTGTATATGTGGCATAGTTTTTCGTCCATTAGCTATTGTTAGCAGCAATTTATGTGTGAGATCGGTCGATAGCTCGATACAACGAGAAGAAAATCCACTTTCGAGGCTTAACAATATCTCTTACGACGAAAAATTAATAAAAAGGTAGCCGTACCCAATAAAATAGCACCCTAACATATTAACATAATATATCTTTGCAAAAAATTAACGAGTTCTAGTCGCACCCAAGGTTTAGAAGCACGTGTGAATCGACAACGTGACAGAGTACATGCATTTCAATTTTGTTTCAGGTAATGTTTCAGTTTTGCAGATTTCGTTGGTTTGATGTAATAAAGAAAATATTTATAACTGTGATTCATAATTCATTATTAAATTACCTATTACATTGATAGGCATTTATTTATATAAACCGATCGGCGAATACGTAATACTTTTTTTACCGTATTTTTTAACTTAATTAAGAAATTACTATAAAAACTTACCATTGCCGATAGTGGTGGGAATCGGTGACGCTGCAGCAGGCGCGAAACTTACGATGTTCGTATCTGAAAAAAAAGAAGGCTCTATAAGCATTTTGCAATCATAAATAAAAGTTTTAAAGTCCTCATAGAACGAAAGATATACGATAGACTGAAAAGTACCATTGACTTAAAAACAATATATTGTTTCCGTAAGAATCGAACTCAGGACCTCCCGCGCTTAAAGTAACACGTATAACCATCTCGCTGCAAAGGCGGTCGATTAGATTGGCAAGTCGTTACTAGATGTCTGAGGTTTACTACAAATTAAAATAATTATTTTTTCCCGTGATTCGAACTCAACGCCTGTTTTTAAATAATGGTTTGAATGCCTAATGTTCCCCCGCGTCGGAGAATAGTGACGTGGGGTGTGTGGTCTAGCGTAGTACAACCTTCTCGAAGACGATAGCCGACCAGAACACTAACCATACCACCAGCCCGGTACGGCTTTGGGGGATCTCTGGGAACACGTTCCGGGCAACCTAAGTGGTATATATTGTAAATGAATAGGAGCTATTTATTTATTACAGCTTTATTAAGAGTTGGAAAGATAATATTTAAAAAACATACTCTTAAAAGAACGAATTATATTAATACATATTTAATTCGGTATAAACAGCGTAATTAATTTACAGATAATAGCGTACAAACCCACGTCCGCTAAGTGCGGTTTGGCTCGCGTCATATCCACGACGCGGTCGCGATATTCTAATAATCGTTTTAGAATTTAATAAACCCATTAGGAGTACATGCAACATGTGTGTGTGCGAAGGATGTAAATGTGTGATTATAAAACTTTTGTTATAACATGTGCTTCTACTAAACTGACAATCTCTTAATCTTAACAACGCCCGACGTTTCGGATGCTTACGTTAAATTGTATCTTAATTATTGAGAGATACAAGATCAGTCAAACCTATAGCATCAGACAAATCTCAAATGATTTCCTACCTACGTTGAACGACTCTCGAAACATTCGCCAGACCAGCGCGAACCCCAAGACGGAAAACGCATTATTCAAAAGGCATTGAAAACGCAAACTATGCACTCGCTCCCCGCCTGCAAGTAGAAATATGTTTTAAATCAATAAAAAGCCAGACGCACACAGACGGAGTAACTGCATTGCATCACACCCATTCAAATACTACGGTACTACGATAGTACGAGAGTACTATAAATGGTTGCGTCTTCGTGCCATTCCACTGTGAGCTTTATTGCGTAGTGTTAGATGCGTCACTCGCGTGTCGGGGTGTTTGCAACGAGATTTAATATCAATGCAGGAGGGTTTCAGTCGTTTTTCGTCGAGCGCTGGATATAGGCCGTGCAGACTGAACGCGACAGACTCGAGACGTCTCTATTTATAGATAAAGCTATCGATTGTGATGCACCGGGCCTTACCGTTGCGTCGTCGGGTCTAGCCACATTCCGATAACTTTGATTGCATATTTGTTTGCGCTGTTGATAGTAGTTTGAATCAATACTTCGATAATAGTAGATCGGCAAATATGAATTGAATAGTGTTCATAGAATACTGTCGGTTTAAAACGCGATAGATATTATTTAAACAAAAACGTTTATAGTTTAATGAAAAACTTAAATGCGAAATATTATATTGGCTTAAAGTGAATTAAAAATCGACGGGCAGGACTTCAACATCCACAGCGTTCCGTGCTGTTGCTCTAACCAATTCAGCTATTGTGTCCTACTGTAGTTTAAAGTGTTCATCTACCACAAGCTTTGACACTTGTGACCACGCCTGCTACAAACGGACAACTGTAACCAAACCAAAATCGTAAAATTTAGAATGTCTTCAAAATAAAATTAACCAGTAATTTACACTACTATTTATTATATACACTAGACCATAGTCGTAAAACAGTTTTAAGTGCGTTAAGCGTTGAAAGGTTCTGCATTCGAATCATTGTTAATAAAACTGTTCATTCAAATTATATAATCGTCTCTCTCACCAATAATAAAAGTTAGGAATTTTTCATCTTCATCTTTTATTGCAGAACAACGGTTTCCGTACCCAAATTGCGGAAAAGGAACGTGGAAACATCGATTAGCAGTAAATAAGCACTCGCCATATTGGCAGTCGTCAAAGGAGCCTATAAAATAATCAATACAGATGATAACATTATATCTCGCAAATAAAACATTTGCTACTTTATGACGTCATCAAAACGGGGAATAAAACAGGACGATTTTATTGAGCAACATTCTAACGGGCATAAACTGTGTTTGCATTCGGTTTTGATTGCGTAGTTTGTTACACTCCCACAATTGGGACGGTGTTTTCAAAATGACTTGTTTTAATAGATATTTAGTAGCAGACATTTTTAATCGTCGTTTTATTGCCTCAAAGGTACAAAAGTGTAGTTCGAGTGACGTAAAGGATTGGAAATTAAGGATTTGCAAGTTTGAGATAATACTTATTAGCTTCTTAGACATTAGATTATTATATTTTACGTAAGAAATTATGTTGAACTATATTTCTAGTCCCATAAAAAACGCAAGCAATAGACAAACACGAGAATAAATGCAGGATATAGAACACTGTTTATTGGTGCAAAGCATTTTTCTCACTCCACATCAATATAATGTACAGTATCATTACATGTACATATACATTGTCTTGATGTTTTCTTTTTTTTTTATTCATAAAGATTTGGCATTTCGCGATTAGTAATATAAATATTTATTAGCATTTTTATAGAAATACAGTTACAGTATAATGTCTGTCTAATGTACGCAAATAATACAATTAAACAACCGAAATATGTGAAAATACGTGTTTTAAACTGTTCATAATGTTTTGTTTAATAAAGAAGACTCTTTTTCTACAATAACATTGCAACTTGAACGAGTACCGGTCGTATGCCAAGGATGCGAATAAAATTGGTAATCAACTGCTAAAAAACCTGTTAACATAACTTCGCGGTTAAACAAACCTGTTTCGACTCGATTATAATACATAAAATAATGAAGCTGATAACTTAGTTCGATAACTGAATAAAAAACGAACCACCGTCATTTAAGTCATTTAATGGTAGTGAATTATCGCTAGGATGACGAAATATTGTTAGAATTTGCATTTTCCTTCTCCATCTATACTAATATTATAAGCTGAAGAGTTCGTTTGTTTGAACCCGTTAATGTCAGGAACTACTGGTTTGAATTACATAACGTCACGATGCACGGACGAAGTCCGTTGGTAACGACTATAATTTATAAAACTGAGGAATTGATGCCCAAAATAACCATTTCAAGTGAACGAAGTCGCAGTCACAGCTACTTATACATATATTATTATCCCTTTTTAATGTTTTCCCCGTTATTTGAACCCGTAGTTGAAATCTAAGAGCAGAAAACTAAAAGGCTACATTTTATATTAATTCTTGCCTTTACATAAAATATGCGTATTATTAGAGTTTATAGGTTTCAAGAAGTAGTCGTTACTTTAAGAACGTGGACTTTCATGAAATATAGTGTTAAGATTGCGCTTGTTACACCTTGAAAAAAATTAATCCTTGCTGAACACAGCTTTTGAAAAAGCATCTAAATCGTCGATTTTCAAACCGTTTTAAATGTTTCATTTGACATTAACTTTCAACTTACTTTTTTATGCGTGGCATGACAAAATAATCAACAACCAATCATCGATATTTTAAGCTAGAATTAATGTTCAAAAAGTACAATTTTTACTTATTAGAGCAGAGATGATATTATATTAATTACATATCAATAAAATAAAATTGGTTAAGGCAACAGCACGGAACGCTATGGATGTCGATTCATGGCCCTGCCGGTGTCATTATTTTTTTTTGTCTAAAACCGATATACGAAATTATATTATAGTTCAGCACTATCTTTAGGTTATTTCAAATTTGGAACGGTTCTACTTAGGAGACTAGTCTACATTCATTCTCTAGTCTCATAGTCTACATTAATTCAAAATCAATGGAATTTTACAAATCAAATTGATTTTAAAGGTAAAACGATGTCGTCACGGCAGTACTGTAATAGGTTAGCGAGTTAGCAACAGGCTTTAATGGGCCTTGGAGGCTTCACGACTCATCAGATGTCACTCACGTCCTAAATACGTTGTTACGCAACGGCCCAGGGGCGCCGAGATAGCGAGATATCTGTTATCACTCGAAACCGGTTGAAAAAGCGGAGTGCCTTGAGAAAATGTAACTAGCGGCTTTATTTCCTAAACTTAGGCATTAGCGCTAGATAAGGTCTATATATTAAAGAAACTTGCGTTCCAGTTTTATAAATTTCGGACCAGGCAAATATTGAAAAAACCAAATAGTGATTAACATTCTATGTTATGTGTAATATATTTTGGTCAAAAAAGACATGCATAATGTTTCCCATATAACAAAGCAGATTTATCACTTCACGGCTTTTCCATCTTGGCTCTGGTGACACGGACTGACATTCGATATTCCTTTTATCCCTGTCATAGTATTCTAGATTTTCACACCAATTTTTTACACTAATCCAGCACGATTAAATTTGTAGACATTTAGATCATTCAATGCTACGGTAAAGTTTACCCTTATATTTTTGTAGGATATTATAATGCAAAGCTGTAAATGATGTCAAATAAAAAATGACCACAAATATTATGCCACGAAATGATGGAGTGTATCTATCCCCATGTTAACTTCAACTGTTCATCATTAACGACTCGAGTGACATCAATGCGAGGCCCTAAGGGTGTTATGCAAATGTTGGTCTATCAGCGCCGGTTGAATTTGACTTCGAAAACCGGTTTTGTCCAGATATTTGACATTGACAAGTCGCGTGATTAGAACGAGCGGTATCGCCGTGCCTCCGAACACGTGTCTGATTGATTGTTATCTGTGCCTTGATGAGATTGATACTAGAGTAGACGTACTAAGCTACGATGTATTGGTATCAAACCACTGATTCGGATACAAAGACCTTTTTCTTGCTGTTAACGCGGACGTCCTGGCAGCAAAACTCAAATTTAAATGTATTTCTGACAACATAAATAA